TACATAGATAATTCTACCAATGCATGTGAATCGGTGCTGCGGAATTTGTTGGTGCTTTATAAATATGAATAGTATTGATAATAATCAGTGCTATCAGTTATATTGTATTTATAGATACTGTCCTGTTAAATGTGAGATGACATTCTTGGCACTCATTGAGTTAAGCTGTAATGTAATGTGCCATTGTTACCAACAGTCCCATGCATTCATTAATACGGCCCCATAAAATTCTGGGTCCCTTTGGACAGAAATCCGATAACACGGGTTTTTCTCTTCTTGGACGCCCTCGGGCTGGGTGAGGTTATCTTCAAACAATGAGTGCCTTTTTTCACACTTTCCCCATTCATCTTAAATTAGATGTCCTGCCCCAGAGGCCAGTTTTATCAGATGGTAACCAAATCCCAGTCTTTTTCAGTCTTATGTTACAGCTTTAAGACTCTCCAAATGCTAATATTGTATTTTAATGGTTTCTTTCAATCAGATAATGGCCAAGCCTTCATCATTCTCAAGGTAAATCTAGCCAAATGATGTCATGTTTTCTAGAGCAGCCTTCAATCTAGAAATCCTACTTATGCACATCTCGGTAGTGTGCACTCAAATTGCTATAACATATAGATTATTATGTAACAAGAAAATATAAACACACAATGTGAACTACAGGCCACGTCTAATAGTGTGAAAAATGTTAGGGATATAACAGATTGTGTGCAAAGCAACAAAGGTACTTTATGCAATCAAGTACAATAAATATATTGCATTTTGGATGAAACTCGAGTTTATGATGTAATACATTCCTTAAAGCACTGTCAAGGCCTAATCTATTATTATTATTTATATAGCGCCAACAAATTCCGCAGCGCTGTACAATGAGATAGTACATCATTAAACAGAACTTGTTGATAAATATTCTGAAACACAAGGATAAAGGATTAAATACTTATTAATTTGAAATAAAACATGAAAATAAAAGCCATAAATATTGAAGCACCTACTGTGCAAAAAACAACAAAGGAAATTGTAAAAATCACAGACACAGGATTAATAAAAACTGGTAGTGGGAAATCCAAAAAATAAGGCAAATTGTGACAGACGATATCAATATTATAATCTTACCATTTACCAAAATATCAGATCTACGAATATTCTTTAATCTGTATCTCAGGTGTGATAGTACTAGAATTAAAACATATGCCATTTTCGGAGCCAGCTTTATTTAGTTAGGAGTGGTGGAGCATCCCCGGAGAATTGTGGAACATAAAACAGAACACTATTTGGATTTGTGCAGACACGAAGATCTTGGTAAGATCCTGACAGGGGAGGAACGAAACAAGACTGAAACATAGATTCATTTTTTCACCTGCTAGTTATCTCAATCTGAACCATGTAAATGCCTAATGCATCTTTACCTTCTACATTAAAGAAAGCCTTATGTTTTTAAGGTAGCTGAACACTGAACATACATTTTGCATGCATGACAGTATATTACATTAAAGGTAACACACACAATAGCATTACATTTAAAAGGTTATACATACCTCCCAAGTGTCCCTATTTAGGAGGGACGGTCCCAAATCCCTCTGCCCCTTTTTTCTATCCTAATGTCCATCTTTTCTATGAGCTTCATATTGTTGGTCTGAGTGTATCACAGAGCTCCACAGCAATAATACTCCTGGTAATGTGTCTGAGTGTATAACAGAGCTCCACAGAAATAATACTCCCAGTAATGTGTCTGAGTGTATAACAGAGCTCCACAGCAATAATACTCCCAGTAATGTGACTGAGTGTATAACAGAGCTCCACAGCAATAATACTCCCAGTAATGTGTCTGAGTGTATAACAGAGCTCCACTGCAATAATACTCCCAGTAATGTGTCTGAGTGTATAACAGAGCTCCACAGTAATAATACTCCCAGTAATGTGTCTGAGTGTATAACAGAGCTCCACAGCAATAATACTCCCAGTAATGTGTCTGGGTGTATAACAGAGTAATAATACTCTGTTAATACTCTGTAATAATCCACAGTAATAAAACTCCCAGTAATGTGTCTGAGTGTATAACAGAGCTCCACAGCAATAATACTCCCAGTAATGTGTCTGAGTGTATAACAGAGCTCCACAGCAATAATACTCCCAGTAATGTGTCTGAGTGTATAACAGAGCTCCACAGCAATAATACTCCCAGTAATGTGTCTGAGTGTATAACAGAGCTCCACAGCAATAATACCCCAGTAATGTGTCTGAGTGTATAACAGAGCTCCACAGCAATAATACTCCCAGTAATGTGTCTGAGTGTATAACAGAGCTCCACAGCAATAATACTCCCAGTAATGTGTCTGAGTGTATAACAGAGCTCCACAGCAATAATACTCCCAGTAATGTGTCTGAGTGTATAACAGAGCTCCACAGCAATAATACTCCCAGTAATGTGTCCGAGTGTATAACAGAGCTCCACAGCAATAATACTCCCAGTAATGTGTCTGAGTGTATAACAGAGCTCCACAGCAATAATACTCCCAGTAATGTGTCTGAGTGTATAACAGAACCCCACAGCAATAATACTCCCAGTAATGTGTCTGAGTGTATAACAGAGCTCCACAGCAATAATACTCCCAGTAATGTGTCTGAGTGTATAACAGAGCTCCACAGCAATAATACTCCCAGTAATGTGTCTGAGTGTATAACAGAGCTCCACAGCAATAATACTCCCAGTAATGTGTCTGAGTGTATAACAGAGCTCCACAGCAATAATACTCCCAGTAATGTGTCTGAGTGTATAACAGAGCTCCACAGCAATAATACTCCCAGTAATGTGTCTTTAAACTACAATTAATGTGTTTAGAAATCAGTCTGTGTAAATAAGATACATTGGTCTTCTTCTAAATTACATTTTAGTTGTATAAATTGTTATTAGTAAGTCATCTAAAATTTACCCCACCCTTTGTCACTCTAACCCTTCCCCCCCCCCAACCCCACTCACACCCCTAAAATTAAAGTGTACTTTCTTTGTCCACGTGAAATGTTGGCAGATATTGGTATGATGTAATACAGTGTGTAATAATGTTAGTAGCACATAATGTAAATAAATGAACATGCAGTGTTTGCAAGACACACTATGTAGTCATGTATACGAAAGTAACATTGCTGTGTACTATTTTCAGAGTACAGGAACAGGACTCCACAATTCATTTCTGGTAACTTAATGCAATTACGTGAATGTGAAACAATTGTCCATATGGTATAAACTGATATTAATTGTTTATGGAAGAGATTCCGAGCTTTGAAGAATAGGATCAAGTTAAGGCCTTTATCAGGCAATTATTTAATAGCACAACAAATATGTATCAGACTCCTGTAAATTTTCACAATCTGGGCCTCCTTTCATATTATTTGCTGTAACTTCCAATGAATGTCTATGGGTTAGTAAGCACATTATTTTGTAACTCGACTAGATATTTATAATATAGAATATAATGCAGATACAAAATGGTGGCTACCTATCACAGCGATCAGGGAGAGTGCTAACACAGGCGAGATGTAGTCTGAATTGGTGTGGTAGAAGCACTCAGGGGTTGGTACATTAGGATGGCTTTAAATTCACATGTAAAGGGCATTGAGTAGGGATAAGTTGCTGGGTTACCAGTTAGATCAATGCTGGATATAGCAGGTACTTGGATTAAATAATCTGTTATTAATACTATTTGCTTGATATAAATGTCTACAAAAAAGTTTTGTTTGCAAATGAGCCGACAGTGTTAGCAGCACTGTACAGACCATGATGAAATGTGTGTATTTATTGGGGGGAATCCACGCAGTGATGTATAGTCAATTGAGCTTGTCCTTGCCAATACAAGATAACAAGTGGCTCCCACGGAAAGTGACCTCGTGAACTTGTTAGTGTAGCAGTGCTGGTGACACACAAGCAATGTATTCTCGGGAGGGCCATTATGCAGTCAACGAACATACAATGTCCAGCAGCAACTGCAGCCTAGGTAATCAATTCCCTTCTCCATCTCCATGGCAACCAGGATATTAACTCTTCCAGTGCCACCGCGTTGTGCGTCTCGCTTGTGCAGACTAAGGGTCTTCTGTCCATCTCTTTGGACAATGCTTTCCAGAAACGTGACGGTGGCAGGACTGGATTCCCCCTAAAGCAACAAAGGCGATCAGCTACACCGTATTTGTGGATTCTGTGACTAAATTAGCAAATGCCACCTCTTACCCCTGCCCCTAGTCATCGGTCCTGCCACTGATTCAGCCTTAATGATCTAATGTGTTTTACTTTATGGGCAACATTGTGAAATTCACTCAGTGGCGGTTTCCAATTTATTATCTCCCTGTAATCCCAAAATTAAGAATGACATCATTCGTGCCCTAATATGTGGCTGAATTATTGTGTGCCACCAGACCTAAAGTTTAACAATGTCACCCTTCTCTAGCGACTTTCTTAAAAACAGAGCAACAGTTCAGTGTCACTATAATGACTGTGAGATTTAAACTTTCCCCATTTTGAAGACAATGGTTTTTTTTTCTGTTGCCTGGCTATGATGGAGCCAAATGATATTTATTGTGAATTTCTGCAATGTCTCCCTTTTCCACAGTCACACTCTCCCTTTGCATTGTAGAGTCTCTGCTTCCTGTGCAATCTCTTAATTCGGCCAAATTAGAGAAGACAACATACCTGGGACCTGTTATTGTTTGAGGCTCAACCTGTCATCATACATATTGTGCATTGAATATACGGTCACTAATGGGTTGATTTGTCTTTAAGTTTTTTTATTTTTTATTTTTGCAACTCATGTTGTATGTTTGATATTGAAGATTTTTTTTTGCTGTACAATTTTCACATAAACTACATTTAGATACAAATGAAAAACGCCTCCAACAATCTCACTTTATAAATTTGGCTAGTTAAATAGTTCTGTACAAATAAAAACACAGAACAGTCATGTTTGTTAAGGTACACCAATGTTTAATGTTTATAGGTCCTAAAAAAATTGTCTGCTAATAGGTACATGGACGTTTAATGCCTATGGGTCCTAAGAAATGGTCCATAAATGTTTAACGCCTATGGGTCCTGAAAAATGGTCCATATATGTTTAACGCCTATGGGTCCTGAGAAATAGTCCATATATGTGTAACGCCTATAGGTCCTAAGAAATGGTCCATATATGTGTAACGCCTATGGGTCCTAAGAAATGGTCCATATATGTGTAACGCCTATGGGTCCTAAGAAATGGTCCATAAATGTTTAACGCCTATGGGTCCCAAGAAATGTTCTGCCAATATTTGAAGCCTATGGATCCAGAGAAGTGGTGTGCAGATTTTTAATGTTGATGTTTACTTCTGGATCCACAGAACAGGTCCTGTAATATCAATGAAATCTAAAGACACGTTCAGACTAGTCTTCCATTACAATGCTGTAATGAAAAGATTGTGGGTTTTTTTTTTTTTTTGCAAAAGTTGGTATCTAACAAAGATTACGCTATCGTCTGATATATTTTGGTTTGATATATTTTTTAGTTTTCCTTTTTTAAATAACAAACATTTATTTTTTAAATTGCCATCAAATATCAGGCTGTGTTGTCACACCTCGAGCATACAATGCAATTTAATTTAACTCCCGTGGAGCCATGCCAGCGTAAGGCACTCAGGAATGAATGGCCTGTGTGAGTCCCCGGGTTGGTGGACACTAAATTGCTACGGAGGTTAGTGTGTTTCAGTAGCTTTCACTGGAGTAAATTAATGAGTCCCTTTCCGAGCAGTGACCGTTCTGTAATTATAGAATAGACATGGCTTCCAAAATTTTACATCTGGCTCTCAGTATTTTCAACTATTTTATATCATTTTGTACAAATCTCTCTTTCTCGCCCTATTTAAAAATAAATACATCAATCATCAAATCATGTTGGCTCCTAAATTACCTGTCGTATTCCTTAATTCAATAAAGTTAGTCTGATCCTGCAGAATCCAACGATAAATTGAAGTGTTCTAATTTTTAAAAAAACACTAAGCACTCAGTTTTGTTTGTTGATTTTTTGGGGGGGTGGTGTTGAAGGGGGCTAATTTAATTTTTAACACTGGGCGCCAGTTAGCTTGGAGTTGGCCCCGAGCCCTCCAAAGGTTAAGAAATCTAAACCAACACGCTGCAGGATTATTAAGATTTAACAAAAGACGAATTAAACGTAAAAAGTATGTGAATGACAAACAATGGCCTGCTGAAAGCATTGAAGATTTTCCTGTTGACAATTTAGTGATTTTTTTTTTTAAAGCAGCTGTATTTGCACATTGACAGTTACAAACCCTATCCATCCCACCCATGGTTTTTCCATTTACATTTCTATGCTTAATGTAAGCAAAAAGGATCACAGTCCCGATGCTAATGGAAGGGCAATGTCCACAAGGAGTCACAGACAGATTTAGAAGACCCTCGTATTTAATCTTAGTAAACAGTTTGCTAATCACATTTTGCATTACACTCCGGCAACGACTAGTTAGACAACACACAAATTTCGGCATGTGATGACAAAGCCTCTTTTGTTCCTTCCATGCTCCTCTCATTACCCATCTTCAGTAAACCTTCAGGGAAGCTGAAATTCTCTCTCCCTTACGCTTTTATCCGAGATCATCCGGATATTACAATAATAATAATAATAATAAAGTATTTAACCAGGAAAGGTACATTCAGATTACTCTGGTTTTCAAGTACATCCTGGGGGTGTTACCTTAGCCCAACATCCAGGGGTTGTTACTATGTATATTTAGAGAGAGAGGGCATGGCATGGTGTCGCAAGTGATAAAATAACTGTTATTAACGCAAAACGGTCTTACGCCAAAATAGAACCGGTGCCCAAACTGGGAGCTTTAAAGCTATCCGTTCTACTGGCTCCCCAAACATTATATATATAGAAAAATACAGTGCGGGTTAGCAGGTGCTGCACGTCGTCCTGAATGTACTAACGGGCTGCTAATTGAGACCAAATTATCCAATGCTTCATTGGCACGGCCTGGCGTCTGTTGAAAGCGTGCTTTGTACTGATGAGGGGAGATGGTCCTTAACCCTTAGAGTGCCTAAAGGGTGTTTAACGTGCTGCTCGATCCTCTGGCACTCAAAGCATTAAGGCGCACAGGAAGGAAGTAAAGGGGGGCGAGGGGTGCAGCGGGTTAGCACAGTTGGAATGTAATCTGCACTTCTATCCAAAAAGTGCATGTTTGTCCCTCATTAATAAACCCCATGACCTTCTTTGAAGTCTTTTTCTGTATCAGCCTCTTCCAGCTGTGTTGAGAATATCTGTTTCACAGCAATCCACCTCTTTCTTTAAGTCAGTATTTCTGCATATTTCCTATGAGCCTTATATCCATTCAGAGCACGGACTCTCTGAGAGGGGGCTTTTCTCTCTTTATTAACCACGCTGCCTCCTTGTTGAATTCCTTAACAGCTGTTGTTGTACTGCAAGTCACATCATCCTGATATCATCCCAGCTGAACACATTACTGAAATTCATTCTTTTTGGGTCACATGCGCTGTCATAACGTTTATATGCAAGCACCGGTTATGCAGCCCCAATTTGTCTCTTTACCTTTAAAATCGCTAAGACAATGAGTATTCTTCAAAGAGAGTCATTAGAAATGTCTCCAATAGCATTAAAGCAGGTCAGCCCATGAATAAAGCCGGCGTGCCATTGGCTGGAGCGGCTCCATAACATTTGGAAAGGAATGGAAAGCTTTTAGGCTGTTTTAGGATTGGAAACTGGAAGGAAGCCAGCAAAGCAAATCAGCAAAGGTGGATTTATCTCAATTCTGGAGTTTCTGATGACTCCAAACACCAACCGGAGTTATTCCAGTGACAAATGGGAGTTATCACAGCCTGCTTTAGCACTGAAAACAAGATGTTCTGCTTTATCTGTTTTGTAATATTTTTTTTCCCAAGTAGTGTATCCACACACTATGAATTTTTTAAACACTTTTAAATCCAAATTAAAATGTGTGATGGCTCGAGTATTTTGTGAGAATGCTCACTACTACAGAAGGCGGAGGGTTAATAGGGCAGTGCTGGTGCTGTGAAGAAGGAGGGGGCTGCTTGAAAGCCAGCTTTAAATGGAAGCATAGTCCCCACGTGGACAGTATTATCCCAGTGCCAGCTCGTCTTTTAAACCTTGCAAGATGCCTTTACAGGACGAGGGCAGAGGACCTCATTGTCCACTTTGTCCCATGATTCCCTAATATTACATTATAATGTATCTGTTTCAATTGTTTAGACTTGTTATAAAGAGTTTTTACCTACTGAGTCAGTATTGTGACTTTCTGTTTACGTATTTCGTAACACAAAATGTATCCTGTAATACATGATACATTGTGTGTTACAGGATACACTGTACATGATACATTGTGTGTTATAGTATTGTGACATTCACTTTACGTATTACGTAATAAGGCCAATTACAATAAACAATCTAACAGGGGTAGGCAACATTCAACACTCCGGATATTGTGGACTACAGCTCCCATAATGCGGTTACAGCCATAATGCAGGCAAAGCATGATGGGAGATGTAGTTCACAACATCTGGAGTGCCGACGCTTGCCTATCCCTGTGTCTATTGTATTCGACAAATGCATAAATGCTTCTGGTACAACAGGAAACCACATGGGAGTTTATTCGCTAAAAACTGAACTACAGCAAATGGCAAATTAACTGCAAAAATATAGGCACAAAGTTCTAATTTTAGTAACAGACTAGCAAGTTTAGCTTAACATTTGCAATTCAGTTTTTGTTTATTTCTGTTTAGGGAATAGGGAACCAGATCAGGACCAAACTCTGATCACAGTCAGCTATGAGGATGATGAGATACATTGTGTGTTACAAGACACACTGTGTTATAGGATACATTGTGTTACAGGAAACATTGTGTTACAAGACACACTGTGTTATAGGATACATTGTGTTACAGGATACATTGTGTTACATGACACACTGTGTTACAGGATACATTGTGTGTTACAAGACACACTGTGTTATAGGATACATTGTGTTACAGGAAACATTGTGTTACAAGACACACTGTGTTATAGGATACATTGTGTTACAGGAAACATTGTGTTACAAGACACACTGTGTTACAGGATACATTGTGTTACAGGATACATTGTGTGTTACAAGACACACTGTGTTACAGGATGTGTGTTACAGGATACATTGTGTTACAGGATACATTGTGTTTTACAGGATACACTGTGTGTTACAGGATACATTGTGTGTTACAGGATACACTGTGTGTTACAGGATACATTGTGTGTTACAGGATACATTGTGTTACAGGATACATTGTGTGTGTTACAGGATACAATGTGTGTTACAGGATACACTGTGTGTTACAGGATACATTGTGTTACAGGATACATTGTGTTTTACAGGATACATTGTGTGTTACAGGATACATTGTGTGTTACAGGATACACTGTGTGTTACAGGATACATTGTGTGTTACAGGATACACTGTGTGTTACAGGATACATTGTGTGTAACAAGACACACTGTGTTATAGGATACATTGTGTTACAGGAAACATTGTGTGTTACAGGACACAATGTGTGTTACAGGTTACACTGTGTGTTACAGGATACATTGTGTGTTACAGGATACACTGTGTGTTACAGGATACATTGTGTGTTACAGGATACATTGTGTGTACATTGTGTGTTACAGGATACACTGTGTGTTACAGGATACATTGTGTGTTACAGGATACAATGTGTGTTACAGGATACATTGTGTGTTACAGGATGCATTGTGTGTTACAGGATACAGTGTGTGTTACAGGACACAATGTGTGTTACAGGATACATTGTGTTACAGGATACACTGTGTGTTTACAGGATACACTGTGTGTTACAGGATACATTGTGTGTTACAGGATGCATGTGTGTTACAGGATACAGGACACTGTGTGTTACAGGATACATTGTGTGTTACAGGATACATGTTACAGGTTACACTGTGTGTTACAGGATACATTGTGTGTTACAGGATACACTGTGTGTTACAGGATACATTGTGTGTTACAGGATACACTGTGTGTTACAGGATACACTGTGTGTTACAGGATTGTGTGTTACAATGTGTGTTACAGGATACATTGTGTGTTACAGGATACAATGTGTGTTACAGGATACATTGTGTGTTACAGGATGCATTGTGTGTTACAGGATACATTGTGTGTTACAGGATACATAGTATGTTACAGGATACACTGTGTGTTACAGGATACAATGTGTGTTACAGGTTACATAGTGTGTTACAGGATACATTGTGTTACATGATACACTGTGTGTTACAGGATACATTGTGTGTCACAGGATAGATTGTGTGTTACAGGATACAATGTGTGTTACAGGATACATTGTGTGTTACAGGATACACTGTGTGTTACAGGATACATTGTGTGTTACAGGATACACTGTGTGTTACAGGATACATTGTGTGTTACAGGATACACTGTGTGTTACAGGATACATTGTGTGTTACAGGATACACTGTGTGTTACATGATACACTGTGTGTTACAGGATACATTGTGTGTTACAGGATGCATTGTGTGTTACAGGATACAGTGTGTGTTACAGGACACAATGTGTGTTACAGGATACAGTGTGTGTTACATGATACACTGTGTATGTTACAGGTTACACTGTGTGTTACAGGATACATAGTGTGTTACAGGATACATTGTGTTACAGGATACATTGTGTGTTACAGGATACATTGTGTGTTACAGGATACAATGTGTGTTACAGGATACATTGTGTGTTACAGGATGCATTGTGTGTTACAGGATACAGTGTGTGTTACAGGACACAATGTGTGTTACAGGATACATTGTATGTTACAGGATACACTGTGTGTTACAGGATACAATGTGTGTTACAGGTTACATAGTGTGTTACAGGATACATTGTGTTACATGATACACTGTGTGTTACAGGATACATTGTGTGTCACAGGATAGATTGTGTGTTACAGGTTACACTGTGTGTTACAGGATACACTGTGTGTTACAGGGTACACTGTGTGTGTTACAGGATACACTGTGTGTTACAGGATACACTGTGTGTTACAGGATACATTGTGTGTTACAGGAAACATTGTGTGTTACAGGATACATTGTGTGTGTTACAGGGTACACTGTGTGTGTTACAGGATACACTGTGTGTTACAGGATACACTGTGTGTTACAGGATACATTGTGTGTTACAGGATACACTGTGTGTTACAGGATACATTGTGTGTTACAGGATACATTGTGTGTTACAGGAAACACTGTGTGTTACAGGATACACTGTGTGTTACAGGAAACACTGTGTGTTACAGGATACATTGTGTGTTACAGGATACATTGTGTGTGTTACAGGATACATTGTGTGTTACAGGAAACATTGTGTGTTACAGGACACAATGTGTGTTACAGGTTACACTGTGTGTTACAGGATACATTGTGTGTCACATGATAGATTGTGTGTTACAGGATACACTGTGTGTTACAGGATACATTGTGTGTTACAGGAAACATTGTGTGTTGCAAGACACACTGTGTTATAGGATACATTGTGTTACAGGAAACATTGTGTGTTACAGGACACAATGTGTGTTACAGGTTACACTGTGTGTTACAGGATACATTGTGTGTCACATGATAGATTGTGTGTTACAGGATACACTGTGTGTTACAGGATACATTGTGTGTTACAGGATACACTGTGTGTTACAGGAAACATTGTGTGTTACAGGATACACTGTGTGTTACAGGAAACACTGTGTGTTACAGGATACAATGTGTGTTACAGGATACACTGTGTGTTACAGGATACATTGTGTGTGTTACAGGATACATTGTGTGTTACAGGATACATTGTGTGTTGCAAGACACACTGTGTTATAGGATACATTGTGTTACAGGAAACATTGTGTGTTACAGGACACAATGTGTGTTACAGGTTACACTGTGTGTTACAGGATACATTGTGTGTCACATGATAGATTGTGTGTTACAGGATACACTGTGTGTTACAGGATACATTGTGTGTTACAGGAAACATTGTGTGTTGCAAGACACACTGTGTTATAGGATACATTGTGTTACAGGACACAATGTGTGTTACAGGTTACACTGTGTGTTACAGGATACATTGTGTGTCACATGATAGATTGTGTGTTACAGGATACACTGTGTGTTACAGGATACATTGTGTGTTACAGGATACAGTGTGTGTTACAGGATACACTGTGTGTGTTACAGGATACATTGTGTGTTACAGGATACACTGTGTGTTACAGGATACATTGTGTGTTACAGGATACACTGTGTGTTACAGGACACAATGTGTGTTACAGGATACATTGTGTGTTACAAGACACACTGTGTTATAGGATACATTGTGTTACAGGATACATTGTGTGTTACAGGATACATTGTGTGTTACAAGATACACTGTGTGTTACAGGATGCATTGTGTGTTACAGGATACAATGTGTGTTACAGGACAGGATACACTGTGTGTTACAGGATACATTGTGTGTTACAGGATACAATGTGTGTTACAGGATACATTGTGTGTTACAGGATACAGTGTGTGTTACAGGATACACTGTGTGTGTTACAGGATACATTGTGTGTTACAGGATACACTGTGTGTTACAGGATACATTGTGTGTTACAGGATACACTGTGTGTTACAGGACACAATGTGTGTTACAGGATACATTGTGTGTTACAAGACACACTGTGTTATAGGATACATTGTGTTACAGGATACATTGTGTGTTACAGGATACATTGTGTGTTACAAGATACACTGTGTGTTACAGGATGCACTGTGTGTTACAGGATGCACTGTGTGTTACAGGATACATTGTGTGTTACAGGATACAATGTGTGTTACAGGATACATTGTGTGTTACAGGATACACTGTGTGTTACAGGATACAATGTGTGTTACAGGATACACTGTGTGTTACAGGATACACTGTGTGTTACAGGATACATTGTGTGTTACAGGACAGGATACACTGTGTGTTACAGGATACAATGTGTGTTACAGGGTACACTGTGTGTTACAGGATACACTGTGTGTTACAGGATACAATGTGTGTTACAGGATACATTGTGTGTTACAGGATACACTGTGTGTTACATGATACACTGTGTGTTACAGGATACACTGTGTGTTACAGGATACATTGTGTGTTACAGGATACACTGTGTGTTACAGGATACACTGTGTGTTACAGGATGCAATGTGTGTTACAGGATTCACTGTGTGTTACAGGATACATTGTGTGTTACAGGATACACTGTGTGTTACAGGATGCAATGTGTGTTACAGGATACATTGTGTGTTACAGGATACACTGTGTGTTACAGGATACACTGTGTGTTACAGGATACATTGTGTGTTACAGGATACATTGTGTGTTACAGGACACTTTGTGTCAGTGATCAGAAATTAGGGCAGTGCCACCTTAAGAGGGGGTGTGGCCTGGGGCTCCCTTTACCAAGGCTGCTAGTTCCAGCAGGTTTCCCTCCCCCAATGCTCCCCCTCCCTCCCTCCCTCCCAGCCAAGCTAGCTCAGCCTCTGCTGTCTCCCAGCCGCCCTACATGTAGCCAGGAGCAGCTCACAGATCTGTCACAGCACCAGCCATTCAGGTAGGTGTACAAGTCTTCCCTGGAGAAAGTCCTGCAAAGCTGCTGGATCTAGGAGCCCACAAGGAGCCCATGGACCCCAGGAAGACCCCTTCCAGGACAGGAGACCCTCCAGCCTTGCCTGGGATTTTATGGAGGCCAGGAGCTGAATGTCAGGACAGAGGGCACAATGCCCTCCTACCAGCAATGCCCACTGTATGCTGCCTGCTTCCAAGGGGGTGAGGGGTGAAGGAGAGAGAGCTGGAGGTCCTGGCCACAGAAGGAATGAGCCCCAGGGCTGCTCACAATCTGTGGGATTTGGGGGAGGGGACACAGCAAGGACCAATTTGCAAGAACAATAAGAGACTTCTCAGAATGGTGGAGGGGAAGGAGGAAGAGAGGGGGATGGGGGCTGGTGGATTATCCCCCTCCCTTCAACCAACCAACCAACCCCCATTAACGTTCAGTGTGATCCTGAAGAAGGACTCTCATTGAGAAGAAGATCCAAGGCTTGAATATTTGGAGCTCATCAGATGGTTCTAAAACCCAGCTCCCCCTTCCACGTGCTGCACCCCATCTTTTACTTAATAAAAAACAAAACCTAACAAAAAAATAATAATCTATTGTGCCCAGGTTACAGGACCTTACCACTGCAGGTAGGTGCCCACTTTATTAACAATCACCCAGTTCAGATCTGACATAAAAGTAGGAGGGATTAGGATATTAAAATTCTGTAGGTTCAATAATATAATAAGAACCATAAAAAATAAAAATCAGGGAGAAATGTGTAAAGCACACAGTCTGGCAATATTCATGGACATAATTTAGGTAGATACATTTAAGTATTGTATAAACAGAGATTGGGGTAGCCAGTGTATAAACTGCGTAAAGTGAGATTGGGGTCCACACTGTTTAAAATGAAATGCTACTACATTGCAAAACATTTGTAATCGTTAAAAAAAAAAAAATCATTAATTTAATTAATGATGGAACTAGTCACATTTACACTTCATAACAAAATATTTATATATTGAATAAACAATATTATTTACCCACGCATTTTACATATATGGTTTGCTCTCTCTTTTTATATATATAGCCACACACATATATAATATACACTAAATATAAAATCTCCCAGATTAGAGTCATGCCAATAATAGTGATGTACTATTAATAATATCTCATGCTAAATAAGGATTTTTTTAAATAACATTTTATTAAACCCTTTTCTCAAATTAGTCTAAAATTAGCATTAACTTGGTCATTGCAAGATTGTTATTATTAGTTGAGAGAATTGTCTTTTTAATAATATAATAAGCTGGCCTTACAAGAAAACAAACAAAATAAATATAACATTTATTCCCCTCCCCCTCCCCCGAATAATTCCTTGTAGCAAGAGATTATTTTTCTCCATTATTTAATCCCAGGTGCAGACAGAAATGTTTTTAAAAACAAATAGATAATAATAAAATAGGAATAATAATAATAAACTTTTGTAGATTGCTTTAGAGCTACAACAAGTGAATTTAAATCTGATATCTAACATTATAATAAATGTGTGATTTTATGTATCTATATATATTTAAACACACATCTGTGTAATATCTATGTCAATGCTCTATATTCTTTATTGTAGAAAATAATATTAAGAAACAAAAAATGTTTTACTCTGATTTTTCTCAATAAAATAAAATTTATATTGTAAAAAATATTCATGTAAAATATATAGAAATAGCTAAAATTCAAAGAGAATATACAGAAAGGGTAATAGTGTATAACACACACTAAAGTGGATTATATATTTCAACTCAGAATTAAATATATTATTATTGGTTTTAAAAGTCGTTTCAAAATTACAAACTTGTAACAAGGTCAGGGACATTATTCTCCCAAGTGATACATTATCTAGTACAACCCAATCCCTTAAAATAATCTAAAAATATTTTTACCCAATTAACAACACATTTTAAAATCTGATTTTTTTCCCCTTCTCAGCATGTTTTTAAATTAATCCTATTTAAATAGTGTTACAATTTTTTTAAATCACAGTTTTGCTTCATTTCCTGTGATTGTTCATAATAAAGTGGCATTATAACAAACTAGCGATTTGTTTCCTTCAATAAATTAAAAAATAATGAGGATTAAAATTGCAGGGAAGAGGCTAAAATATATCTCAACATCTTTACACTTTAAATAAATCCGAACATGAGTGGGTTTGCACTGAAAATCAATTTTAATATATTTACTCTTTTGAATTTTCAAAATAAATTTTATAGACAAAAAGTAAAATAAATGATATAGTGCTACAAAAGAATGCACATTATTTTATACAGATAAAAAAAAGAAAAGAACATTTAGAATGAAAACATACAATTGTACATAGTTTTTTTTTTCTTTGTTTTTTTCCAATACAAAAACATTTATTTAGAGGTGGCATGTGTATTGCTGAAGTGGGGAGAATATTATTTTAAAAAAATCATTGCAATCACAGCGCAGCCTTAATAATTCCCAAATAACATGTAATTTAGATTATATTATTCAAAATATAAATTTCTATTTGGTTGTGAACATGCAAGAAAATTAATTTAAAATTAGGGAAAAATTTTTTTTCTATATACACACTAGAACAAATATGTACAGACACACACAGACACTATTAGTCAAAACTTTTAGAACCTTAATTTTTCCAGTTCTTACTGATAAAAGTAGTGTGATATTAAAGCACAGAATACATTTAAAAAAAAAAAAAAAGAAAAGAAATTGAGATAAAAGAGAAATTATGGATTTTTTTGTTTATGTGTAACAATTTGTAACCTAAATGGCTGATTCAAACGTAGACAACATTTATCAGAAATAACAAATCGAAAACCCTTGCGTCATTCTTTTTACAATGGAAATCACATATTATTTGGGGGAAATTATTCCCAACACTGCCGCCCAAGTTCTACATATGGTTTGCCCATTAGAATTGCTTTGCTTTCACTCTTCTATCCAGTCCCCCCAGAGTAGCTCGATGGGGTTTAAGCCTGAATTCTCAATTTGAGGCCTACTGCCTAGTTCTTTTCTACTGAAGTAGTTCTGACACAGCCTGGAGGTATGTTTGGGGTCATTATTTGACTTTTAGGATAAATCCGTGACTGACTAGGCCTTTACCAGATCATTCTGCATGGCGCTGCTTTAGGCTGTGGTAACAATATTTGGTGCAGGGTGCCACTCAGTCTGTGCAAGTCGACGACTCTGGATTCAGCAGAAGAACCCCTGAGCTTTGTTATTCCCAGTTGGCGTTAAACAATGGGGAAGCATTCTTTCGATGCCGCTCACACAAAAACCCTGCGAGATGAACCAAAGGTTTCGTATTTTGACCCGTTGCTCCATAATACAGCACTACGGAATTTGCTGGCGCTATATAAATAATAAAATAATAATAATAATAATAAGGCCTGCTTCCAGGGTTTAGTAGTCCACGGGCGGTGCTTCATAGACCGGGCAATTCTTTTTCTTATATTGCCACGTTAGCAATGGGTTTTTTGTAACCGAACCTGCGTAACGTACGGCTCGTCGTTTTTTTTTGTCAGTGGAAAGCGAGACTCGAGTAATCCGAGCAGCGTTCCGGGCTGCGAGACCCCCATCGCACAAGCTGCTGCCTCTCTGAAACTCGTTGTTTGATTCTGCTGTGGCTTTCGGTCTGCCAGGCCTCTTCCTGTCTGAGTTCCCTTCACTTTCCTCCTGCCTCTTGATGATGAAGGAAAGTGCTCGCCGACACCTCGGTATTCTTTGCATTTTCTCTGAAGGAAATACCTGCACTTTAACCCCTTAAAGACACATACCATGTGTGACATGTCATGATTCCCTTTTATTCCAGAAGTTTGGTCCTTAAAGCGTTAAGGGGTTCTAATGGTTTGTCTGTCTCCCTCTGTTAATTGCCTTTTTCTCGCCATTATCACAGCAATATCAGGCAATACAATAGCTCACACAGTACGGTACTGTCCAAATAATGCCAAGAAGGTGTGTAGTAAGACCGACTGTTCTAACACTGCTTTTATACAGACACAGGGTTTGTGAATGATCAACAATTCTGGGACACCTGTAGGAATTGCTTGTCATGTTTTGAGGCCTAATTTACTTCCATTGCTGCAAAATAGCTGCATGTTAACCCATTACTTCAAAGAATGCTGACTAGGACCTTATTTATCATTTTATTAGTCTGTGTTTAACTTCATACAGGCTACTGATTACCTTGTAACATTTCAGGTTATTCAACCAATGTGAACTGCTTACATTTAAAAAAAAACTAGTAAAATGGAAGTGTTCTAAAACTATATCGGATATTACCATACAAAACACTTTGATGCCATATGTAGGTAGAATGGTATAAATACATTTCTCTCTCTCTGTATATATATAATTTTATTTTATTTCTGTTTTTTTACGTTTTTATGTACACTCACACAGATAACAACAATTTAAATATTTACAAATATTCGCACAAAATATAATAAAATCAGAACACACTAAATAATAACCAAATACTAAATAATTTAAAAGTTGTTGTTTCACAATGGCAGTTTTGTATATTTTTTGTACATTCTATAGATACATAAATAAATAAATATAACAATTTTAAAAAAAAATGCTTCTTGGCAGACTCAGTTCAGAGAAATACCAGTTTCTATTTAGCAAATAAATGTTGGGAGCTCAGGACAGCTGAAGTCAGACTATAATATTATAGAATTCATTTTTATTTCTTTGTATTTGATATTTTTAAGTGATTTAGCTCTGGGTGTATGAATTCCCATATTCTCAGTTCTGTAGGACTGTGGGCTTATTGACAGATGTCACAGATATTTCATATTTATTTGGTTTTTAACATATAATTCCCACAGGTTTATTGCACAGCGTTCTTTAACAGAACAAAACAAGTGACAGGCTTTTCACATTGCAAATACACTAGCAGTACGTTCCAATAATAACAAATATACCCAAATATCACACGCACACGTCATTGAGTATTTGGGGTGAAATATAGCCCGGCCTTTAACTCTTTCACAGCCAGGAGAGGAGTTTCTATATTATGTGACTGACACACACATACAATGTAAATCCAGAAAATAAAATGTTTTATAACCAAATTCAATGATGCAAATGATTGGTTTGTATTTTGTATTTATATCACGACCTGTAGTTCAAATTCGTTAATAAAGTGACTTAATAAAACTGTGTGTTTTTGTGAATTGATATTTAACCCTGGTAGGGATATTTTGTGTAATGTTTGATGTAGGGATATTTTGTGTTGTTTAATGTTTGCTTCACTTTTTTAGATTGAAACCAGAATATAATGAGGATCCTTTGTCTGACCTGATTATTGTATACTGTTAATTATAATTCTAAAAGTGAAAAAATAACAATATTTCATTTAGAAAGCTATATAATAAATAAACAAATTGTGATTAAACAAATAATGAAATATAATATTAAGGAAACAAAGTAAAAAAGATTGTGGATCTGTTAATACATGTCTGTGTGGCTGCCAAGGTTGCCAAGATTGGCTAGCCAGGAGCTTTGCATGGCCAGTTCCTGTGTCTTTATTTTATTTTAACCCTTTTTTTCATTTTACGTACATGTCGCTGTATGTCAAGAATGGATTAAAAGAAAATGATGATAATTATTCATTTCACTAAAACATCATTAAATCTGTATATTTTTTTCGAATATATGAGTCTCTGCCTTTATTGATAAAGCCAGTGTTACTAATGATAAGTGATACAATGTCTATTCCTGTTCACAAATTAAAAACAAATAGAAGGATATTAAATAAATTCAGACTCTGCATTTTCAGTATCCTTGTAATTAAATACAATATACAAGTAAATCTACTCATATCTCAGCACCTATGAATTAACTGATCTCATCCCATATAATAAACATTATTTAGTAAAGCAGTTATTTTTAATGCAATCATTAGATCCATTATAAGGGATTGTAGAATAATTTTTATAAATTAACTGATAATAATTTGCTCTCAGATGGTAATTATAATAACTAATTAAAGCCAAAATTTATTTTTTTAAATAAAATATCTTTGTTCTTAAAACTATGCCCTGAATATTAATCTTTGTCACTGTGGTTTAAGCACATTTTTGTGTCTGTAGAAGTGATTTAACATTTTATCCACACTACAGAAAGCATGAGACAGATCCAGTATTTCTGAATGTATTTTCTACATATTGATCAGCACTGTATTGGAAATACCCAGATAGCTTTTTGACTGTGACTTGAAGTCAGAGAATGTTCTGTGGACATAGACTTCCAGATAAACAAACAATGGTTAATTGCTGGAATTCCTAATACAGAGACAGTGTGAGCACAAATTGTTACCTATTAACCACACAAGGGATCCAATGCCACGTTATCCTTCACTGAACTTCTATTTTGGGGATGGGAAGCACTGGGGGTCAGGTAGGAGGATAATTCGATAAGAAGGGGAGTCAGACTGATTACTAGCAGTTCCCAATAGTATGTTATACAATGCCAGCCTTTGTCCTTTTGGATATAAGAGGAGATTTCACATATTAATTCGCAGACATGATGGTTTAGGGAGTTCCAAATGATTTGATTACTGCTGAGCCAAATTGGATGTTTGTGAATATAAAAAATAAATAAATTAAAAAAAACACAACTCACAAAATATACTAAAAATGGTGTGTTAACGATGGGTCTCTCTAAAAGCACAGTGACACAGCTCAGACCTTGTTTAGATCTAATTATGTCTCCAAGCATTTGATATTCACATTTACACCTGAGCTGTTAGAAAGTTGCCATCACTTGTCACTCAGGGGTTAGGTAAAGGTTTTTTTTTTCACCATTATTATTATTATTTTTAAATTTAGTTCCTTTTAAATGGTCCAGACAAGGAGACGTTTAAAATGCTACCTTTAATTATGTTTAAATCTCTTAACTGTTCCAATTTCTCCAACCAGCTTTAAAATGGGATTCCAGGGAGAAGTTTGGATGTCAGGATTAATTTGGAGGAACATGAGTGGCCTAACCTTTCCTTACAGCAATTTATGGAAAGCAAAATATAGAGAGGAAGGGGTGCTGGGGGGTGGGGGGGCCTTTGTTGGCCACATGTCTGCCCCCCTCCCCTTCTCCTTTACATTTGGTACAGTAATTCTAAAGACTGTTTGTTCCAAGTCACACATAAGCCCAATAACTTGTGATCCCTCTGCACTGGGACTGGGACTGAGAGGCGCTGCTGGATCTATTCCCTGGTCTGGCTGGGTGTTAGTGGGAGATCACCATTTGTCTCTCACTTGTTTTATTTTAACTTTCTAATTGTTTTTTTTTTTTCCTTTTCGAATTTCCGTTGTAGGTTTTTATGAATGCTTTGCCTCTGGCACACAAAAGGTTATTATTATTATTTTATTATTTATAAAGCGCCAACAAATTCTGTAGCGCTGTACAGGTACAATTCATTACACTTGGAAAAGTGAGGGATTTTTTTTTCCAAAAAGTGTATAAACTCCATCAGTTTATAAATAACAACCTGCTAGTCAAAATACTCACAGTCAGGGAAGGGTTAATGTATTAGCCTGATACACCTCCCAACATTTCAAATGGACAAAGAGGGACACTTTAATGGTAGGGGTTTGAAAAGGGGTGGGGCTGTTGTGAGAAATTTTAGGTAACATAATAATAACAATTTATAGAACTAAAATGTAATTTAGAAGAGGAATAATGTATCTTATTTACACAGACTGATTTCTAAACACATTTATTGTAGTTTAAAGACACATTACTGGGAGTATTATTGCTGCGGAACTCTGTTATACACTCAGACACATTACTGGGAGTATTATTGCTGTGGAGCTCTGTTATACACTCAGACACATTACTGGGAGTATTATTGCTGTGGAGCTCTGTTATACACTCAGACACACCAACAATATGGAGCTCCTAGAAAAGAGGGACATTAGGATAGAAAAGAGGGACAGAGGGATTCGTGTCCCTCTTGGGAGGTATGCTAATTTCACAGACGGGGACACTTAGTGACGGATTGTTTGGGGTTTTCCAGGATGTTAGCATGTAGGATAAACCTTTTCTTAACCCGTTTTTTAGTTAAACCAGCATCTTAATGGTTTAAGGTTCATACAATGTACTGAGAGTTCAAACGTACAATTGGTTTACAAGCAAAAAATAGTGTCAACTCAGAAGGGCAAAAGGCCTTTAATATTGAATTTAGAAATCGGTGAATTAATCAAAACGTAAAGCAGCCTCAGGCAGGGGATATAGAAATGCTAAATATGTTCATATATCTATCCCTATGCATCTCTAAACAGACACAATGTTTATCTCAGGCATGGATAAAAAGCCTAAATTATAGGATGTTTTTTGGATTAATTTCTTTGGCCTCTATCTGATTTAGCATTCTGACCAGCGACACATTCACTGGGTCATGCATTTAGGGTAGAGGGCTAATTGTGGAGCAATCAGAGGAAACGGTTGGGATTGCTCCAGTTCTTGAACTCTGCAACTGAATTCTACTTTAAACATCATAATACACACTGATCCGCCCAGACAACAGGCCTTATTTACTAAACAGTGAACTGTGCTGAATCGAAATCTTGGGGTTGGAAATATACTAATTTGGAGAAGGTTCCCATGTCTGCACCCCATTTTACTCTTTAGTAAACAAACCTCTTTGGGTACAAGATAACATGATCTACTTAACAGGCCGACAATAAACATAGAATGTATCAGTGCTTTGGGCTGGACCTAGCACCCTACAGATACAATGAGGTTTATTCACAAAACTACAAATTGGAGTAAATTGAAAATCAAATTGCAAAATGTAGCAATTAGTTCTGATTTGGAAAATCCCCTCAGTTTAGCTGTAGTCCCATCCTGGACAGTTTAGAGTTTTGCAATCTGTTTTTCAATTCACCATCATTCAATGTTTAGCTATTAACCCCCAACGTGTCTGCATTTTGTAATAAGTAGCCCAAGCAAGCGCTCTGATAGGGGGTTACTATGTGTCAGTTAGGAAATTCTACATAACCAAATCTCCCTTCCCTCTATAAAATATTTATAGTTTACATTTAACTTCCTCTTTTGGCTTTGGATGCCAGTAAATCCCCTTTTTTGCCAAACAGCCTGAAAATTTGACAGATACAGAGGAACTTTATCAATGGTTTCCTAACACCATATAACCCCTACAATTAAGCTGCAGTACGCTGCTGGGAGTGTGCCTTTAAGATTTAGCCTGATTCAAACGTCCCGAGACTTGGACAAATGTAACAGTGCACAGGGTAAGAATTAGTTTGATCTAGCACTACAGGGCCCATTGTACAGCGCTACAGAATCTGATGGCGCTATATAAATAATAAAATAGTAATAAACATAGGGGTTAAAATGTAAAGTGCATTATGTGCTTCCCTGTAACTCCCTGCGTCCCATTCAGCGTTTCATGTTTTTTTAAGTCTTGCAGTTTTTTTTAAATACATAGGGAAAAACCTGGATTACATTTCCTTTATATAGCCTGTAACGTGACAAAACTGGACAATGGGTGGTGCTTCGGTCAGCGCCACTTCCATTGTCAAGTTAAGTTTTCTCATAATTCTTACCAGCCGTCTGCATCCAGCGGCGTCAAATCTTGCATTCTCTTTCTGTACATGTTGACTTGTGCAGCTTGAATAAGAAAGGGCAGTGGAAGACAGAGTCCGCACATCACTGCCAGGCACTCAAAGGCGGCGGCTAGCAAGAGGATTTGTCAGGAGCTAAGCTGGATTAAAAGAATGTTGTTGTTTTTTATAAATAGGGAACAAAGACGAAAACAGTTTATTGCTGGGGCTGTGGTGGAGCTTACTAAGCACATGACAGAGTCGCTTTAACCCCTTAAGGACACATGACATGTGTGACATGTTATGATTCCCTTTCATTCCAGAAGTTTGGTCCTTAAGGGGGCTCCAGAACTATATCTATATGTATACCAGCACGTTCTCACACCTGCCGCGCCAATATCCTACTAGAATTTAAGGATGTCACTGTCAAACAGGTAATAAAATGACTGGAATTACCTCTAAACGACACATGAAATATTGTCCTGACCACTTGGTGTGAAGATGGACTACATGGAGTACGTGTCTGCAAGGCCTGAAACTTCCTGAATATTCTGCATTCACAGCGGTTATAAATAGTGACACAATATGCCAAAGTACAAGAGTATTGTCCATATAGTGACTGGGTGCGTTCGGGTCTGATCTAGAACCTTTACATAGCAATGGGCTCTGAACATGCTGCTTTGATCACACATAATGTAGAACATAAATACATTAACTCGATGGATTGAGTAAGTTCTGGTCTGACCTAGAACCATTACGTGCATGTAGGCCAGGACCCAGAACATCCCGCATTAATCTGGTACAGTGCAGAACCCACAATTACTCTGGAACGAGTATGTTTCGGATTGATCTGTGTCTGTGAGAAGCACAAACCATTTTAATTGTTTACATTTCTATTGTAATTTATTACTGTTTGTTCATGAAGCCATTGCTGAGAATCATTTTACAGTCCTGCTTCCCTTCTCCACACTCCCACAGGTTATCAAAGGCAGAGAAAAACAGTGAGGAGATAAAACCACAGAACCGGGTCCACGTTTAGCCACAACCTAAGAAATTGTTTAAATACACTTCATCTTAAATCTGCACTCCCAACAAAACAACCTAAAAGGACAGCGAATAACTAACCTCTATTAGGTAACAATCAAATAATTGTAAATTATAAATGAAATTAAAAAAAATAGAACATCTTTGTTGATATGCCGCAGACTTTGGGGGTTCGAGGAAATATTTCTGCTTTGTTGGCTGTATGATATTCCTTCTATCACAATTCTTTACACAATCCATTGTGCAGAATAAAACACATACTTATCTGATATAAAAGTGAGAGGATCTGACCAGAGGAGTGGCAGAAAATTAGTTGGTGTGCTAGGTGAGGACCTGCATGGCATTGGTGAGAAGGTATGAGTGTATTTCTTTAATACATGGTTCGGGGTTGGGGAAAACACAAAGTAGCAGTTGGGCGTTAGACCTCAACCTTTTTTATAAATAAACACATTGTAGAAGATTGGTCTCTGATATCTGCCCCCTGTATTGACATGACGTGCTAAATGTAGGGTGTCCAATCCCGGCCTGCTCTATATACAGATGGAAGGACTAACATCTGGGGGTGATGGGATTTTCTACATATCTCCAGTTCTAGAACATGTTACACAGAATGTGGGCAGCCCATCATGAGGTCATGTGTCCACTAGTTGACTTCCTATGTTACACACAAGAGATGGACAATACAAATGTAAAGTTATACTTAACAAAACGAAATGTTTATAACAGAATGAAAACATAATTGTTTCTGAGATACATGTAATTATACCCGGTGCTGTACCCCAGTATGAAGCCTCCCTGGGTCCAGACAGTCACTTTCTGAGACAAGGAGTTGGTTATCGATCAGTAAGATTCCTGACTTTCAGATGGCACCCCGCCTGGAAACTAATCACAATCCAGAATCCACGAACATTTAATCTGCCAGTAATTCAGCTGAAATGAGAAAATGTTGTAGTTTTAGAAACGGGCCTAAGCCATAATTTTATTGTTAATCTCAGCATGTTGATCTTGATTTATTATCGCAAGATTAACCCCTTAAGGACACATGACGTGTGACATGTCATGATTCCCTTTTATTCCAGAAGTTTGGTCTTTAAGGGGTTAAAGACAATCCAAAAGCAAATGTGGTCTTTCGAGGGGTTTTCGATGACATCACAGGTTGACTGTAGCTTGAAAGCCCACTTCACTAACAATACGAATAGGCGATGAGTGTGTCACTGACCTGTTTTGTACATTTGGACATTGCGGTACCTTACGGTACCAGTAAAGGACAGAATAAACCGTATATATGGATCGCTGATTATTCTCAGCCAATAGGCTAAGCTCTGGGCTAAGGCTGTAGTGGAGGCAGGCAGCTGCAACCAGCAGATTCCAGATAAGAAGTAAAGCTGATCAAAGATGAACCGATTCCTTACAATGGGGGTGCGCCAGCAGGGCCGGACTTATACATCACGCATACAATTCGAAGGCACCCCTCACACACAGACACTGGAGGAGCTCGGACAGCACTGAGCTTTACATCCTCTATAACTGTTCCTGCAACTCTGCTATTGAGGCTGATTGGACTACAGAGGACACTCCAGGTACTTATCTCTATCCACCAGCCAATTAAAGCTAAAAAGGGCACATCATAAGTACTGCAAACAGGTGCCCCCTAGTGGTCAGGTGCCTAATCTGCCTAATGAGAAATCTGGCGATACTGGCATCATAACTACAACAGCAAGAAATCTATTCTTTGTAGAGTAAATATATAATCAAAATAAATAAAAACATTGAAAACTTCCAGAAACTGCAATGAATTTTCGAATCATAAAAAAGTTAAAAACTTCCAGTGTTTTTAACAAATCGACATCGAATTAATCTGCTGAGGAAGATATTGATTTACATGAATCTAAATCAGCTCAATCCATTTCTTTAACGACTCTGTCTAAAAACAAACAAACAAAAAAAAACACCAATTAAAAATGAGTACAATCAGAATTGTGGTTCATCCATAAAATGTATCTTAAAAAATAATGGAAATGTGTATTTACAATAATACCTCTTTATTCAGGCTTATAATAAGAAAATGAATAATAATAAAAATATATATATTATCGGCTATTATATAGTGCCAATTTATTCCGCAGCGATTTACAATAAATGAGACAATTACACAATGTCACAGGAACAATAGGTGGACGAGGATCCTGCACAAAACAGCTTACAAACTAGAGGATGTATATATACACAGACATACACACACGCACGCACGCACACACGCGCACACACACACACACACACACAAACACACACAAATATACAAGGCAAAAAACTATGAGAAAAAAAAGATTATATAGTACCACGAGAAGACGTGTATAGTCAAGAAACAGAAATGCACTAATAACATTTGTGAAAAAACGATGAATGAAAAATGTTTTCGGCTAGTAACATAAAACC